ATTTGGTTTAGCACCTCGTTTAATTATCTATATAATAAATTGAAATAATATATATTTCTCTCAAATTGATTATATTTACTTTAAGTTCTAGACCATCATCAGATCCAAGAAATCGTTTCATAATTGGTATTGCTGAATATTTAATAAGATCAACCTTAATAAGTAAATAATAATAATAATAAGTATTATTAGATAAAACAAAATATTTACTGAAGGATCATCACGATCATTAGTTACACCTTTTAGTCGAAGTTCAAGAGCTGTTTTCATAAATGGTGCCATATAGAGAACAAGCTCAAGAAAATAACCAATACCACGTTGTAATGAACATTCATGCTCAACAATTCCACCAGTTAATGCACCCGGTACATAATAAAGTGAAGTACCTATTGTACGAGAGAAAAATAATATTAACATATTTAAACGAAAAATATTTTAATTATTTACCAGTAGTATTAATTTCTACTTTACTACCATTCGTAAGTTTTTCCAATAAATGCAGTAGATTTATTTCAAAATCTATTTGAAAAGAAGAAAAAAAGAATTTTTTTTTGTAATAAAATGATTAATAAGAATTTTCTTACCACGTAGTCCAGGTGCATTTTCTTGTGATCGAATATTTTTTATTTTAATTGGTGTGTAACTTAGTGTTGATAAAGCAAGACGTTGACGAAAATAAGCACAACCATCAAATTGAAGAGTCATATTAATTGAAAGTTTAATAGATAGATATTTATTATATTGAAGATTTCATTGAAATTTTCGATTAATATTTCATGGATTTTCAAAAATAATCCATTCAGATATGTTGATTATTAATTTTGTCTGATGATTGGCGACATCTAGTGAACGAGTAATCAAACAATAGAAGTAATTATTAACTTAAAAATTGATGCTTAGATTAGAAATGATACATCTGATTTCTTGACTCTTGTATCTGCAAAAAAAAAGAATCAATGAAAACGAACATTTTTATGTAATACTGGACTGGTTTTAATAAATATTTGTTCAAATTTCGTTTGTATCATTTCTGATATTTTTAGCTAAAAATACTCAATTAATGGGATCAATTGATTTTAAAAAATGACGTAAATCTTGTTTTTGAATGGCTCCTGGCAATTTTGCTCTTCGAAATATTTCTTTAGCTATGTTTTAATAAAAACATCATATGTATTCATTTACTTTTTGTATATCATGTGGATCATTTATTGCATTTCCAAATAAATATGAAGTTTCTTTCTTTCTTTCTTTATTTTATTTTTACCTACTTTTCATTCAGTTGCAATTGTTAATACTATTATCTTTTGATTTAGTTAAGCTTTTATTATCTAATAAAAAAAAAACAAGACATTTTAGAAATAGTTGCATTGTCTTCTAAAAATCCATGACAAAATATTGCTGATGTGTTCAACTAGACGATGACACTCGACTTTGTTATTCAATTCCATTCAAGTCTCGTCAAGCATGAATACAACTTATAATCTTTTTCGTGATTTTGGTAGATGTTCTTAAACGGATGTTCTTGTTCATTTTCTTAAAATCATTAGTCAGAAATTCATAACAAGGATCAATTACTGTTTCGAAGATCAAGAAATTCGAAATGAACTTACAGACACCATACTTTCTGTTGTATATCTATCGCCCTGAATGTTCTAAGACTAAAGGGAAGGACTTCAACTGATAAATCGCTTTTCATCTGAAACTTAGTGGACAATAGGTAATCGAATGTGTTGAATTCGAATATGACAATGGTTTGAACCATTAGCCCTTTTCAGACTCGATTTCTGGAAAACCCGAGTTTCAGGTCAAAAAGTCTTTTGCGCAGAAAAATTGTTTTTCAACCGTCCATATGAAAGAATACATCGTGAAACCTAGGAGAAACCACTTTTTCCACTGTTTTGAGAAGTTTCCGACAGTTTTTTAGGGTAAAAACTTTAAAATTAGGTAAGAAATAGTTTTCTACTTTACACAGTTTTTTGTTGAAACTTTGTCGTTTCTAGGTATTCGAATGTACTGATTCTGAATTTCGATAGCGTGGACCTCGTTTCACTGTAGTGCAGACCATAAATGAGGTGTTTCAAGAGATTCAACGGGACCAAAAATAAGGCAACTCAAAAATCAGCATGGTAGAGAAGTGTCGTGTAAATGAAAGACGCCCATCAAGCCAAAATCTAAAGTGTGTCGGACCGAATGGACTCACATACCAGAGAGTGAATTGAACCGGAATTTTCTGGATCGAGTTCGGTTCGGCTCACCCTTGAAAAACTAGTTCGAATGCGGTTCAATTAGAGTAGCAGTAGTTCCACCTTATCAATAGCTATAGGTCAAAATCTGTTTCTCGGACGATCAGAGATGTCATATTAGAGTTGAAATTTGCATGAATTAACACTAACACTAATTTATACTTTTCTAGATTAAAAGAAATTTTTAATATTAATATATGAGAGACAGCAGTCTTTTAGTGTTGATATTAATCTCGTACCATTATTCACGGTTTCTCATCACACTTTAGAACAACGGCGACATTTACGAAAGAAAAGAATGAAAGAATTATACTGCATAGAAATGACTCATCATCATAAACACAAATTGAATTAAACATGTAAAACAATCAATAAAAGTTCGTTTTATCTTCACCGACGGCATCATATTTTTTTCAATTTGATGATAAATCAATTATTTTTCATTTGAGGTTGAACTACATTCTACTATCTTTTAAAAAATTATTTCGAGTTCGAGTTCGAGTTCGGTTCGTTTTCGCTCTGTCACACACTGAAAGTTAGGGACTGAGCGGATTCAGTTTGAGATTTTTATCCTTTTTTTTTATCTAACTCTGGTTACAGTTTAAAATGTACAAAATCAAAACCGGAGACATACAAGAACTTTCAACAGGAAAAAACAGGCGAGAAACGTCAATACAGTTTAAGCCAACACCGCCTGTCCTCTTCGCCAACATATTGTCTATTACACAGAATAAACTGATCATACTTCGATATTGCTTAAGAATTAATAATTCGATTGATATTCTGAAAGAATAAATTTTTTCAGCTAAAACACAAGAGAAAGAAAAATAAATGCGGGGTGTCATAATGATCCTGCATAAGCAAAAATTTTGTTCAGAGAACTTAAAATAGCACAAACCTTTATTTTAGTGCACTGTATTCAATAAAATTGGAGAAACACAAGTTTACATCTTCAACAGTTCGATTTCAAGTGCTAGGTCTCTATAAACATTAGCTCACTAACGCCAAAAAGCCTATATGTTCCTTGTCTTCTCTAAAAAGTTTTTTGGCTTCGGCAAAGCAGTCAGACTGAAATTCATTGGACCACGAAATGCGTTCTTGTGTCGAAATTTGGAATCAGCACAGTCGGTTACTTGTACTCTGACAACTTTTGCTTGAAAACTAGAAAATCAGAAGACTGTTTTTCTACTAGATTTCAAGTTTTTGCCGAAAAAACATCTCAAAAACCCTCAAAACTCTTCGAAAACGATTTTCCCATAGACTCTGTGATACACTCTTTCATATGGACAGTTGAAAAAAATTTTTCGCGCAAAAGATTCTCTGAGCTGAAAACCAGGTTTTTCAGAAACCGAGCCATGGAAGGTCTAAGGGTCCAAATCATTGTCATATTCGAATTTAGCACACTCGAAATACCTATTGCCTGCTAAGTTTCAGATGAAAAACGATTTATCAGTTGGTATCCTTTCCTTGTGAGGATTCGCTCAGCTCTTTCTCGTAGAAGTGCTGTTTCGAAATTCTGAGCAAATTATTTATTTACACAATTTCAAAAAGTAAAAGAACGATGTTTTCGCTGTCTTTTTCATGAAAAATATTAATAGTCAACAAATAATTAGTTAATGAAACTGATCACCGATGCGGATTTCCCGCCATCAATTATCTTTGGTCAAATTTTGTAAAAAATATGAATAATTAATTATCCAAATAGCCTCAGTTCAAATCCAACTTTCAGTCTTTAACTATACCATAGCCATAAAGTGACGCTAACCTATCTTCATCTCTTCGCCTTACTCTCATGGGTCGTTCTTTATTCCCTGATCCGCCGCTTCCTTCAAAATTTAATGTTGCCAATAGCATGTGTTTTTATTCTTCAAAAAGTTAGGTTAATAAAGAAATATGATTAAATAACAAGATAAAGAAGCAAGAGAATAAAAACCGGAAAACGAACAAAGTTCTTATACCGCAATACTAACACCAGCTTATTTTTGTAATTGTCGTACATTGTTAATTTTTTATACATAATATGATTCTAAAATTCGATTTAATGCATGAACTTCTTCTGGAGTCGTAACGTCTTGAATATCCTATTTCGATAATAAATCAATTAATGTATATCAAAAAGTTGTTCGACTACCTTGAAAAACATCTTGAATATCACAGTGATGTGTGAAATTTCTTTTTTTTAACATATTAAAACGATAACGAATAATCAATCGAAATGTTTAACATGCTGGCTTTGTTGAAAATCCATTGATAAAACAATTCATATGTTTCTTCATTTATATTTTTATTAAAATGTTCTTTATAGGA